GACAGAGAGACAAAGAGAGAGAGAGAGAGAGAGAGAGAGACAAAGAGAGTGACAGAGAGAGTGACAGAGAGCGCGAGACAACGACACATGTAGATGTGCACAAACAAACATTGATGTGCATGTTCTCCCGACCAACGCAACTATCTCAGGTTAGCCATCGTTGCCATACTGAAGTGCAAGCCACATGACTTTGTTATTTGGCTGGCGACCCAATGTGGTAGTTGGACAAGCATAAACAAGGGCACTTCTGGGAGATCAGCTGCGGATTCTTTGGGCAACCGCAAGCATGTTTCTGTCACCAATTCCAACCAAATGGTCGAAAGGCCCCAGCTTTTTTTGATGGGTTGCCTGTGATCATAACCGAAGCTGCATGAACACTGCCTCGAAACCCCATCCAGGTGCTCGTGCTTGATGCTCCTGGCAGTCGCTTTGGGTGGCTGCTTCGTATTGGAGCAGCCGGGGAGCTCAGTGCTTGAGTTCTATCCGGCCTTTCGGCACGTTATGTCTTCACTGGTACTGGTGTCTGGGGTAGACTCGGAGGGGGCCTCAGTCCTGTGTGTGCATGAAATCTATGTTGTGTACATGTAATTACAGTGAGACTACCAACCCCAAAATCAATCCCGTTCAGGTTTGCCGTGTTGGCTGGTGGATGGGGCATTACAATGCCCGGTCGGCAAAACGGCAATATGCCTACTCGAACTCTGCGGCTGTCCGGCGGCTGAACAAAGGTGCCCTCAAGCCCACAGCCCGCAAGGCAATCAAGCGAAAGGTTGCCACGACAATTAGGTCCATGGGGCCTGATGGAAAAGAACGATACACTGCATCCGAAAACTTGAAGTCCTCGGAGATCCTTTGCTACACACCAAGCTTCATGCTACAGCTAGGCTTGCTTGTTGCCAGCTTTTGGGGTGCTGCTTCGGTATATCCTGAGCTGCTAAAGATGCACGAAGGTATTCTACTCGGTGCGGCTAGGAAACTATGTATGTCCTGGGAAAACAAAAATAAATATTCTGCTACGCAACAGAGCAAAATCAAGCCCCATCAATCCGAGGATATACCCTCTACAGTTCGCAGAAGCCGTGGCCGACATCTTCGAAGACCTGAAATCTACCTGCAAGGGCTGCCCAAGTCTGCCGAGCCAGGTTCCAGCAGGCCTCGAGCTGTACGCTTCTGCCACCACGCCAGAGGATGTCCGCCTCATGTACGAGACAGCTAATTTTGGAGATGTGTACGATTATCTGCGGGGTTGCAAATACTTGCACATCCCAGAAGAATGGCGATGTCATTTCCCCGTACGTGGTAAGTGAGACCACCTCTTGCTTGTTCGTGTCCCACTGTATATTAGCCATGCAAATCTTGGTTAGAAGGGCAGCTACCGGAGACAGAGTGCATCCCGTGGGTGTTTCAATGTGGGGGTTTCCTTGTCATACTTCGTAGCAGAAACATAGGGGACTGTATGTATACCCTGTATAGTATAATATACATATATAGTATATATAGATGTATGTGTCTTTGTGTATATGTACGTACAGAATATATATATGCATTATTTTTATATCTGTATCATGAATATTATGTACATACATACAAACGTATATGTTTGTTTTGTACTGAATAAATGATAAACAAACAAATAAATGAACATATATACATATATCATATACATATCATATACATAT